GCTCATTATTTGGGCCAACAGGAGTAATTTAGAAAACAGTTTGTAAAGGGACAAAAAAGAAGAACATGAAAATTAGAGTTTATTTGACAGTTTTTACATTTACTTTTATATTCCTTCATGCTTGTTTGATTAAACATTTCAGTTGCGATTGCAGCGCTCCCTGCAGTCAGCAGAACTCAACCTAACGATCCAGGTAATGACGATTTTAGTCCGCTGACTCATAGCCAATCATTTCATGCAGGGCTACAGTTTGGCCTTTACAACATTACATTTATCTAATGCTAACAAATCTGCTGATCGCATTATGCTCCTTTTTTTTCCTATTGTTGATTTGGCTAGGATTTAATGTCCATGTGGCTTTATTAAGGGGGGATCAGTTTTTCACCGGGGCATTTTCTGCCCCAACTAACTGCATAACCATTTTTGTTTATGTAACAATTTGCCTTTATGTCTCTCTTTTATAGCAGTGATCCAACTTATGACCCTGGTGATGTAAGTGCATGTCTGAGCTTTTCAGGATGCAGATCAGAAGCACATACGGTTAAGGCATTCATAATCTCTAACCACTTAGTGGATAATCAGGTTGGAGTTCTCAGCAAAAAGCCACGTCTGCCTCCTTCCTGTTTCCTTGTCCCCTCTGAAGGATGCAGCTGTATTTGAACAAAAAAGAAACCGTAGTCATTAACCTGGTTCACAGATTTCTTGGCTCTTTTCCATGTGGGGCTAATCCTGCAGTTGTCTAATTATGGCTCCACAGAGCCACAAGGGTTCACCCCAGGTTCATCATCTCCACGGCTTAGGAAGTCAGGAATGGTCCTTAAAGGTTACGGTAATTCTGTGAAACCTTTAACCTTATGACTGAATTTTTGTCTTCTTGGGCTTTTTTGTGGGGGGTATATCGCCCCCATTTTTTTTTTTTTTTTTTTTTTTTTTTTACATGGAATCATATATTTCATGTAAAATGGAAAGAGCCACTGTGATTTCACCCACTGGTCTCTGATGACACATTTTGAACCTTCATTGTTAACATGCTGGAGCAGTAAGTTGTCATTTGCAGCTTCATTCGCTTTAGCTTCATTTTTCAGTCTCAATGACTGAAGTCTGACATAGCCATTCTTTTCAACATGCCTGTCATGCAAGATGCTGTACTTTGTGTTTTTTTTTTTTAACAGCCAAGGGGCTGTGACAAGAGTACAGTCCTTCTCTTTTATTTAGATGCACATGCTGCCCCCCTATTCAACTGTGATGGGCTGGTGATGTTGCCTTGGGCTCATACTGTGGCTTTATTTGCCTTTCTGTGTCCTCCTCCTGCTACGGAGGGTTTGTCCAATAAAACAGTAAATTTCTTACAGTAAATACCAGATTTTTCACAATTATAATCCTACATGTTACCAAACAGTTAGGCTTTTAAGGAGGTGATTTTCACCACTTTAGATTATTTTTGAGTCATTAACAGAGGATTAAAAGGATTACAAAGGAATGAAACATCCAATTTGCTTTCATAGATGTTTTTCATGCTAAACCATGCTCTCTAGGCCCAAAGTGAGGAGGAGTATTGTCTAATTATAATAATAACCTGTCTCAATTTCATACAACACATCTGGATTTCTTCATGCTCCAGCTGATTGAACACAACTGTGTTTCAGCCTCTCTTTGTCTCTCCTGGGATTGCCTGGCTGTGACCTGTTTTTTCATTCACAGTCCAGTAGTTCAAAACGAACACTTTAAATAGCGATGAACAGACAAAGAGCGCCACCACATTTGCAGAAACATCTAAAAGGAATGTACTGAAAGACATCACAGGCTGGCTCCACCCACTGATGCTACACAAATCATACAGTAATTAGTACAAAACAAGAATCTCATCTTCTAGAGTCAAATGTGAGGCCATGCAACAGGACAGTGATCCCACGAACATCTGCAAATGTTTCTGCAAAAGAAAAAAATAATTGCTTTCTCAGCTGGACTTTCCAAAACTGTAATTTTATATTTTTCTTCTTGGAATGAATGATCTGTACATTTGACTTGGATTTGACTTATTGAATATTTCCTTCCATAACCCTGGGTTATATATAGTGTAAATGAGGAGGAAGAAACAACAGAAGGAAATCCATTTTCTAATGATAATGTGAACTGTGTCATTGCAGCTTCAAGGTTCTTTATACACACATTTCTCATTCTTCTGATTGTAACAAGCAGATATTTTCAGTCTTTTTCTTGTCTCGTGTTCACAGTTTATTTCGACTGCCCCCAAGTGGATACAAAAACAACAACAAAAAACTGTTATTCCAGGTTTTAAAATAAATGTGTGACCTCCGACCCCATGCTGAGAGAAATTACATTTGTGACTCCAGACTTGACAAAGTTCCCCTGAGAGTAGTGGAAGACAATAGAATAGTGTTTCACAGGCAGAGTAATGATTCCCCCTGTGGAGAGAAAACTAATCGTAATGTGTGAAATTAGAAAGCTGGAGTTCCTGTAGTTGCAGTGTAATAAGGAAAACTGAAAAAAAGTTAATATATATTTGCAGGAAATGAATGTGCCAAGACAATGAAACGTTTTTTTTCCTCACGTACTTTGAGAGATATCAACTCAAAGCTGCGAGCGCAGTTACAATGAAGCATCATCTGTGGAATGTACTTTCACTTACTGCAGTTTTAAAACATTTATACTATAAAACCTTTGTTGTAGTGCAGTAAGTGTCTTATAAACTACTTAATGTTACAAATGTTCAAATTCCTCTGGTAATTTGTACCACTTTTATTGTTTTTAACACAGAGAAAGATGTTCATGACACGATACTGTCACGCTAAGGGCGACCTTATCTTTAAACACATCCCTCGGGACCTTAAATAAGCAGTAAGCCTCTGAGAGTGAGCAACTAGCTCCACCTTCTGGTTTAAAATAAGCATATGCCAAGATTTAAGTTTGACTTGCTTTGATTTTGCTTCTTCTGTGCTATAAAACTGTTTTATTTTTTATGACTCTAACAAACCTGTTTGCTGCTTTCACTTTCATGTTACCCTTTGACAAACTTAAGTTTGGTGTGAAAATAGTGTGAGAACTACAGTTTATTTAGCTGAGATATAACTATAAAAGTGCAGGTATAGGTGCAACAATGGACTTCAAACTCACTCAAGAAAATGGATTATTGCAACTGCAGCTCTTTCAGCAGTTCATTGCCCTGCATGTAGCAAAACAAGTGAAAGCTTTCTCTCCGCTTTAGCTTTAGCCTCTAGAAAAATAGGACAAAAGCAGAGTTTGCGCAATTCTAACGAGCTTGAGGGTTTAGAAATGTTTCTCCGGGCTTCTTAAAGGGCATTCAAAGCTCTTCATTGGATTTTGGCTGCTTTTGTTCTGTTCTCTGTCAAGAGGATCCCACACTGCTTCAGTAATGCTGAGGTTCACACTCTTGTGTTTTTATTGTATCGTATGCTTTTATTAAACTGTTGCCAGTTGGATGTTTTCAAGATAGTATTGTATGTGGATCCAAATCCAGTGGTAATTAAATTCCATTAATTTTGGCAAGATCCCCAACACCACTGACTAAAATACCGCCCCAAACCATAACAGAGTCGCCAACATGTTTTACATGGTACAATGCTGACTGTTGTACTACTCTCCAACCTCTTGCATATAAACTGACAATGATTTGAATTTTAAAAAATCCAATATTGATTCATTCCATAAATCTGTTGCCACTGAATTTCAGTCTAGTTCTTGTGTAATTTGTAATAACTCTGCCTCTCCCTGTTTTCTTACCTTAAAAATGGCTTTTTGAAGGCCACCCTTCCACTGAGACCATTTCTGATATGTACAGTGGCTTGCAAAAGTATTCGGCCCCCTTGAGCTTTTCCACATTTTGTCACATTACAGCCACAAACATGAATCCATTTTATTGGAATTCCACGTGAAAGACCAACACAAAGTGATGCACACGTGAGAAGTGGAGCGAAAATCATACATGATTCCAAACATTTTTTACAAATAAATAACTGCAAAGTGGGGTGTGTGTAATTATTCAGCCCCCTGAGTCAATACTTTGTAGAACCACCTTTTGCTGCAGTTACAGCTGCCAGTCTTTTAGGGTGTGTCTCTACCAGCTTTGCACATCTACAGACTGAAATCTTTGTTCATTCTTCTTTGCAAAACAGCTCCAGCTCAGTCAGATTGGATGGACAGCGTTTGTGAACAGCAGTTTTCAGATCTTGCCACAGATTCTCGATTGGATTTAGATCTGGACTTTGACTGGGCCAGTCTAACACATGGATATGTTTTGTTTTGAACCATTCCATTGTTGCCCTGGCTTTATGTTTAGGGTCGTTGTCCTGCTGGAAGGTGAGCTCTGTTCCAGTCTCAAGTCTTTTGCAGACTCCAAGAGGTTTTCTTCCAAGACTGCCCTGTATTTGGCTCCATCCATCTTCCCATCAACTCTGACCAGCTTCCCTGTCCCTGCTGAAGGGAAGCACCCCCAGAGCATGATGCTGCCACCACCACATTTGACAGTGGGGATGGTGCGTTCAGAGTGATGTGCAGTGTTAGTTTTCTGCCACACATAGCATTTGCATTATGGCCAAAAAGTTCCATTTTGGTCTCATCTGACCAGAGCAGCTTCTTCCACATGGCTTATGGCAAACTGCAAACGGGGCTTCTTATGGTTTTCTGTTAACAATGGCTTTCTTCTTGCCACACGCTGGACCCTATTCAGCAGCAGCTTTAAAATGCTATTGAAAACAGCAGCGTGTGTGTGCGCGCGCGCGCGTGTGTGTGAGTGAGTGCACAGATTAGGATCAGGGATTAGGGACAGATGTAAACCAGAAATCGAGATCCAATGTAATACGGCTGCCGTCCATCACAGCAGAAGAAAGGTCAGGGTTAGGGTCACGTATAAGCAAGCCACGCCTTCATTACGTCTTCATTGCAGTTTCTATTGGCCCAATATTTGATTGATGGCGCTGTTTTCCAATAGGAGAGCAGGAGGGAGCCCTCGTGGGGGGAAACCGCTGAGCAGATGTGTGTGTGTGAGAAGACGAAGAGGACGCAGGTTTTTACTGAGTGCAGGAATCGCTGTAGAAAGGGAGTGACGAGCTGCAGGGACACGAAAAAGTAAAGGTGAGCACTACATTATGTAACATTACGATTTATGAAGCTAAATTAACCGTGCTGCTCAACAGAATCGATGTTTTAGCTCTAATGTTAGCAATTCATTTTAGCTGGAGAGTGTCGTGTCTATCTAATTTCTTGTTGGCAGCAGTTGACTGTTATTTCCATTTAGTTAGCACATACTCGGTTATTTCAGACAGGTTTCGATCATTTACAGGCAGGTGTCAGTCCTTTCTGTGTGATGTGGCTGTGTAGCCTTTTTAAATTTATTTGCAAACTTCGTGTCGCGAATTGTTTGACCCCCAAAGTAGATTTGAAAGTTTAACGTGATATTGCAGTAACTGACACGCGGTCGTACGTGTAGTTTGTGTGCACCCTATTTCCTCCTTCCTGACCTTCTTTGGGTTTTTTCCTCCAAAACGGGTTGGAGCAGTTATTACCCAACAAACGTCTCAATGTCTTTCTTTCTTTCTTGTGACCTCTTTTTGTCTTGAGAGTTTTTATTGGACTAAAATAGCTGCGGTGGTAATATCTTACTGGACCAGAACTGTCTATGAAACTTGATCCTGAGACTTGGATATTGGCAAGAAATGACCTGCCACATTAGAGGTCATTCATTGGGCTCAGCTGTTCAGAAACTGTCCTTGTGTCAAGGTGCATTTTTGTGTCCTTCCTTGTCTTGTTAATCTACAATCTTTCCTCGCTTTATACTTAGACGCCAGCTTGGAAATAATGCACACTCTCAAAACTTCTTCCTGTTTAATCTTAAGGTTCAACACTTTGTCTACCTGTCAGGTAAACTATGTCCTCTGTGGGCTATTAAGACAGCCAGGAAGACTTTGCTCTTTGTTTGCTCCCCCTGACATCACTTCCGTTTTGAGTCACAGGCAGACTGCTTTTGCTGATGTCCCACATTTATTCAGAACTTTAGAGTCCCATATCATTTTTTTTTAAAGCTAGCAGTGACCAGTGTTGGTCAAGTTACTTGAAAAAAGTAATCAGTAACTAATTACTGATTACTTCCCCAAAAAAGTAATCCCGTTACTTTACTGATTACTTATTTTCAAAAGTAATTAATTACTTAGTTACTTTTTAAAAACACGATTTACAACCTGAATAGGTGATAAAGCGATAGATCTTTCAGCCCAATTCTACTTTTTCTCATAATCCATCATACAAAATGTAATCAAATGGAAAAGTCTCTTTTTAAAACTTGTTTTATTAGTTTTAATCTTTTAACTTTATGCATCAAGCAAAAATTTAATTATATGCAACATTCTCTGACTTGAAGAAATTAGTTTAACATTTAAACCTATTTTCTGCACATTCCAGCACATAAAATAAAATATTTTTGTGTTTACACTCAGTCTTTCAAATAGATGCAAGTAAAACACAGCAGAAAATAAATAAAGTCAAAGACTCAGCGGTCCTGTTGCTCTATTTTCACCTGTAAAGCAGGAGTGGGTAGGCGGAGGTTTACCCTGGTGCAGGTGTGCCGCGGTCAGTGGAAGAATCCGCGAGTTTCTCTGTGAGTTTCCCATTACGTCGTAGCGCACTCGGTGCTTGCTTGGAAGTTTAGGGGTTTTTTTCGCTGTAAAAAGAAGTTTTCTTCCCACGCACAACGGACACTAATGTTTTTGTCACTTTTTATGGAATCAAACTCAAAGTAAGGTCAGTACTTCCACGCTTTAAACGCTGCACGCTCATACTCTCTCGCACTCGATATATGATCCATTGTTGATCTGCACACAGCTGTTGTCACAACGCGCACTCGCTTACGTCACTGTCATGAGACATTCTCGCAAAAAATCACGGTTTTAGTAACGCAGTAACGCAGCGTTCCTACGGGAAAGTAACGGTAATCTAATTACCGTTTTTGCAATAGTAATCCCTTACTTTACTCGTTACTTGAAAAAAGTAATCAGATTACACGTAACGCGTTACTGCCCATCTCTGCCAGTGACACTGATATTCTGTGAAAATGACTCCCCCCTCATAGCAGATGCTAATCTAGCTGTTTAGGTAAAAACAAATGAAAGGGCTTAAAGTGTATTCAACACAAATAAGTGATCCCAAGCCTTCATTTGACCCTAAAAATATGCAACCGTGTTTTAGAACAGGGGCTTAATACTGCACATTGGAAAGTCAGGTATTAAATCCTGCAGATGATTAATCAGTGATTAGTGGAGCCTGCTTTCTTTCTTCTTACTCCAGGCAGCTGCAACCTTGATACTACGAGTGTATTATTCCCTTTGGGAGGTGATTTTTGGCTTTGTCAAGACTAAAAGGAAAAAAGAGGTTCTAAATGAAAGAAAAGCACCTTTCCCTCCTTTGCTGCCCTTTGCTTGCATTTTCTCTTTCACTTTCACTTTCATTGGAAAAGAATCCCCTCACTGTGCTTTTCAATCCGGTTTCATGGTTCACTTTTAGGGTACTTTCACACATCATTTGTAGTGAGGCTAAAAAAATAAAATATAAAATGGTGTTATCTGACATTTTGAAATGTAGTAAAGTGTTTATCTGGGTGTGCAGCTGTAAATGGCTGTAGAATCTGAGAGTTGATAACAAAAGTAAACATTTGTAATATTTTTGCCCTTTGACTTTTCCAGATGTCGTTCGCCGGTGACAAACTGTACGATGGATACATACGGCGGAATATGGCAATCATCGTTTCCAAGGTGAAACCGAGAGAAATAATGATGCATCTGCCTTGCCTGACTGCTTACGACAGGGTATGTTTCAGAAAGCTCTCAGACTAAGAATTTTGTTGTTCTGTTTTGATGCACCCCAAGTATACTCAGTCTGATACCTTCTTTTCTGTATATTACCATGTTGTATAGCCACATGTGAACTGTGTTTAAATACAGTAGCCTGCATTTCTTTATTTAAATCAGAAAGTGTTCATTTAAACCAACCAATTATTTGCTGTCTTTAATGACTATTTAATGCTCCTATGGAAACACATTGAGCAGTACAAGCCTTGTTAGTTAGGCAACCCCAAAAAAGGCCTAAAACTATTTTGCCATTCCTTGCACGACTCTCACTGTAAAAATTACATTTGTTGTTTTGGTAAACACACTAGTGTCACTGATTAAATTAGCTTTTGTGGTTGATTGGTTGGTTGTTTATTGATAACCGAACAGTAAAGGGCATTAGCACTGGTAAAGGCATATTTTAAAGACTAAACTACTGATGATTTGTCTGTTATCTATTAAACTGAGTTTGTTTTCTCACTTGATCTATTTTTTACCAAATCTTAGGACGTCATTGAGGCAAAAACTGAGACAAGTGGGAATTATCAAGGCATGATGCTTCTTTTGGACTGCCTGAAAAGAAGAGAAAACTGGCCCGAGCAGTTCATTGAGGCACTTGAGGCATGTGAGAAGAGAACCATTGCAGCGGACATCAGAGCAGAATACAACGCTCTAACAGATGTTAACAGTAAGTTGCCAAATAATTTACCCAGCACCGTACATGATAGTGTTGAAGTTTACGTGAGCAGTAACGGATACAGTCTTGGTACACACTTTTGACATGACAAAGCACACTTGTCATTATTTATATAACAAAAACTAAGCTATAGAGCAGAAGTAATGTGTGAATTACTAAGTAGGAAGTGTGAAAACCTCTACAAAAGCAGTTGATAAAGGCCATTTTTAAATCTGAAGCATTCAGGTATGTAACCCAGTTCCCCAGAGGAAAGACATCAGCAATGATCCTGTTCCTGTCCAACAGTATGGGAACGGTTCAAAGTCATTTCTGAAGTTCTTCAGTGAAAACACCTATTGACAAGTAGAAAACTGAAAAGTTGAATGCCTGCAAACCGCAGTAAACTGAAGTGACGCTGTGAAGAAGGGTGGAAGAACGATGTGAGAGACTGATAGTCATACAGAAAATAATAGAAGTTATTTCTGCAAAATGTTTTCACAAGCAATTTCTCCATTGTTGGCACAGTTTTTATCAAATAAGTAATGACATGCTGTAATACATCCTGTGTTTTTGCTAATCTAGACCAGATTATTATTATTTTTTTATGTCCTGGTTTGTTGGATTACTCAGCGTGCTGGAAATGACAGTTCAAACTCAACCTTCTCCGAAACATAAACAGCTTGTGCAGATAATGCAAATATGTTTCAACCCAAACATGTTTACAGTCGCTCAGAAAAGTGATTATATATACATTATTATACAACAAACATTACATGTTTGTTTAGATCCAAGACTAAAGTATATTGGATTCATCATTTGTAAACACTGCTTGGAAAACTGTTACAATTTAAATGGATTCCTTTTTGAAGAACACTATGCAGAGCGTGTTGCATATAGAATAAATATATACATTTTCATTTTTAAAATGAAAATGTATATATATATGTGTATATGCAGCATCGCAGAGTTCATGACAAATTCATTTCTGTATAGTTTCACATTTAGGTAGTCCTTCAGGATTTCACAGGGATTTACTGATAGGATGTCATGAGAGATTTAAATAGCAGAACTGTTTCCTTTGCCCTAGATTCCAACCCCAGCTCCTCTCCAACGTCTGTTGTCACGGCACACGTCCACCCAGCACCATCTGCCGGTCATCTGCCCATTCCAGAGAGTGGTGATAACAGTCGGGATGCTCTAGCTCTGCCAGCTGTAGCTCCTTCAGCTCCTCCAGCTCCCCCAGAGCCAGCTATCCAGGCCCCACCCTCTCCGAAAATTCCAACACTGCCACAACCCCCCCAGAGTGCAGCAGACCCAGGTCCCAAAGTTGTTTCCCCACCTGAGCCTGTCCCTGAGCCTCCAAAGTCAACACAGATTGAAGTGGCACATCCTCCATCAACACCTCCTGCTTCCCCCAAGACCACACACATTCGGGTGACATCCACAGAGAGAGAAATTAATTTTCGCAAGGAGCCAGAGGAAAACTCTGAATCAGATATCCAAAATATTGCTGCTGGAGCTCAGGTGGGCTCTGGAGATGGTGCCATTTCTGTCAACAGGGAAACCACTCCTCCACCACAACATCCAACTGAACACCATGAAGCCGATCCTCTCAGAAACAGGATTACCAAAAAGAACAAGGAGCCAGAGAGTCCACCTGAAGCCCAGATCAACTCTGATGTGACTGATGGACCCTCTTTCTATACAAGGACCCCAGAGAAGCCTCCGGTCCAGGACAGCACTCCTCCATTGAACAAAAATCCTGATGCTGTCTCACAGACTGAAGAGATTTCTGGGCCTCCTTCTACACAGGTGAATACTAAAATATGATCATTTTAAGACTTGAATAATGGCACCTCCTGCAACAGTGCTGTCTGATATTCACTTAACTTAGCTTGGTGCTTAAACCACCTTAGGCAGCATTTCGTTCAAAATGAGAAGCTTTACCTCTGTGGTTTCTTTGGGTGGTACACTCGGCATTTTTTTTCTCTTTTCTAGAGAAATTTCATTTCTATAAATATAAAGTTACATTAAATTATTTATACTAAGAACAGTAATCTGTGGACAGAGAACATGCAAAGAGTTGCTACAATTGTTTCCAAATACATACAAAAATAACCTTTGCTAATAGTGTTGCAGTACGATTGTAGCCTTTTCTTCTTCTTCTTTTTGTAAGGAAGTAACTTTTTTTAATGATCCAACTATATTGTGTATATCCTTGAACCCTAAAAAGTATGTTGAAAAATGTGTAATTTTTTAAAGGGCCTTACTAGTTCGACCTTTGTTGGGACATTACTGTATTTTCAGGCGAGTAAAAGTCTCCAGCTGACAGTCACTGGAAGGGCATAACACCACTGGACGTGTGCCATTAAGCCACATGCTCACATTACTGCAGGGTATACAAAAAAACTGGAAGGCACACACACACAAAAACAATTTCTACCGGTCTTATAGGCCTAGTCTTTCACAAGGCATCTTTTCATAAAACCCATCCTGCACATTTATTTGTAAACTTTTGGTAATGATGATTTCATTCAAAATTTCAGAGAGGAAAATATTCTAGAATACAATTAAACGTGTACAAGTGAGAAACTCCGGTATAAAAGTTCTCCTGTATGACATGTAATATATTTAATGGAAACTTAAGTTAGCATTTTTGACAGTAGTATGTATTAGTGTTATTACCAGACCTCCATATAGGTGCTTTTAACGAACCTATAAGCTTTTACACATACCTGAAAGTTAGGACATTGAAAAATTGCAGTTTGGCAATAAAATTGATCTCTGTTATGAATTTCCCCCCCAGATTGTTGAAACTGCAGCTGAAGCCTCCCCCAGGCCTAGTACTCCGGTGATGGAGGCCTCTCTTAATGATGATGTTTGTCTGAGCAAGCCAGGGCAACTCGTCAGCATCCAACCGCAAAATCAACCCAGTCCTACTATCCTCGCGTCCAGCTCAGAGCCGCAGCCCTACTCGGGCAACACTGAGCGTCTGGAAATAAGTGAAGCTCCACCGGATGACGTGTCCTCTTTCGACTCCACAGTTACTACAGTCACGCCACTGCCATGCCAGGAGACCGGCTTCGCTAATCTCAACTATAACGAACCTGAGGAGAACCAGTTTGAGTCACCGTGTCAAAGCTTTGAAACACAGGAGCTGGTGATACATGCGTCCGGTGAGCCATCTATCCCTAACCTAGACGTCAATGGTGAAACGGCCAAAGAAATCTCCTCGGCACCACCGTCATTCCCACATGCTGCTGCTGATTCTGGGAGTTTAAACACCACCTTCAAAGCAGGAGAAGAGCCAGCAGATACTTCAGCTCCGTGGACCCGTCTCAGCCAATCACCTAACGCAAAGTACATTCTGGCCGCTGCAGGAGTGGGTGCCTGTGCAATGCTGATGGTGTGGAGGTTTAACAAATAAGGGGATATAATACCTGGAATGAAAGAGAAGATTAGACTTTGAGGCTTTTGAAAAGGATTTTAGGTGCCTTAATGAAATCACTGCCATGGGTTGGCATGAGGCAGCAGTTTAATAATTACCTACAGTAATTACAGCTGGCTCCGCAGACCTTTGATCACGTCACTAATGACCATTCTGCTCTTAAGTTTGACATTTTATGTCTTTATTATTGAGGTTGACTATAGGGAACAAAAACTAAGTCTACCCTTACTATTCTAGTTGGGTCACTTCATAGAACTGGGTTACAATCTCAGGTTATTTATGCACTTGTGCGATGCAAATGTGTGTTTTTTAAAGGCGTGTATTAATCATTGTTTGCATGTTCTCTGACAAGCTAGATAAGACTGTTGGCTGTCATCCAGCATGAGTTAAAGAATCAAGGACCTGAGTTTGTCTTGTTGGGGACAGGAGTACCAGTAGTTCACCACAGTGTAAATTCTTTGTTTTTCCCTATTCATAGTGGGGAAATATGGCTTTAAATGTATTTATTTGTAAATATTTATATATATATATGTGTGCTATATAGATACCATCCATCCATCCATCTTCATCCGCTTTATCCGGGCCGGGTCGCGGGGCAGCAGCCTAAGCAGAGAGGCCCAGACCTCCCTCTCCCCAGCCACCTCCTCCAGCTTATCCGGGGGAACACCAAGGTGTTCCCAGGCCAGCCGAGAGATATAATCTCTCCAGCGTGTCCTGGGTCTGCCCCGGGGCCTCCTCCCGGTGGGACATGCCTGAACACCTCACCCAGGAGGCCCCAGGGCATCCTTGTCAGATGCCCGAACCACCTCAGCTGGCTCCTTTCGATGTGGAGCAGCAGCTGCTCTACTCTAGCCTCCCATGCGACTCCCTATCTCTAAGGGAGAGGCCAGCCACCCTTCGGAGGAAGCTCATTTCTGCCGCTTGTATCCGCGATCTCGTTCTTTCGGTCACTACCCACAGCTCGTGGCCATAGGTGAGGGTAGGGACGTAGATCGACCGGTAAATTGAGAGCTTCGCTTTTACACTCAGCTCCCTCTTCACCACGACGGACCGGTGCAGCGTCCGCATTACTGCAGCCTGCAGCCCCAATCCGTCTGTCGATCTCCGGCTCCCTTCTCCCATCACTCGCGAACAAGACCCCGAGATACTTTAACTCCTCCACTTGGGGCAGGAACTCATCCCCGACCCGGAGTGGGCACTCCACCCTTTTCCGGCTGAGAACCATGGCCTCAGATTTGGAGGTGCTGATCCTCATTCCCGCTGCTTCACACTCGGCTGCAAACTGTTCCAGTGCGAGCTGTAGGCCTTCACCTGATGAAGCCAACAGAAGATGAGATTCTGAGGCCACCAAAGTGAAAGCCCTCCGCCACTTGGCTGCGCCTAGAAATCCTGTCCATAAAAATTATGAACAGAATCGGTGACAAAGGGCAGCCCTGGCGAAGCCCATCACCCACCGGGAACGAGTCCGACTTATCCGGCAATGCGAACCAAGCTCTTGCAACGGTTGTATAGGGATCGATGGCCCGTAGCAATGGGCCAGACACCCCATACTCCCGCACACCTCCCACAGGACACCCCGAGGGACACGGTCGAATGCCTTCCAAGATCACAACACTGTAACTGGTTATAAGCAAAGAGATTGTGCTATTAACATTAAAAAAAAAAAAAAAAACACTCAGCAATCAAGCAGTCGGTCAGCTAATCCCTGCATAATCTTTTTTTTTTTTAAAGTCATTGCCCGTGAACTTCCTTAGCCCTATGAGGCTTCTTGGTAGGAATTATTATTCCATGGCACCACCCACCACGTTTCTTTTAAACAGCAGGTAAGTGTTTTCTTATCATGGCAGTGATCATTGTATCATAACCTGGGTGTTTGTCTATGGCGTTTGACACGTGTCCTCTTCTGCTTTCATGTATCTAAATGCGTGTTTAAATTTAATCAATGTTATTTTACAGTTAGAAAATGTGAATAACTATATTTTGCAACTGGCACCTACTTTTGCAACAATTGGCACAATTTAAGCCTAAGGTTGTCTTATATGGTGCAAATGTCTGATTCAACATTTAAGTCGTCAATAGATGATTTTTCTCCTTTAAATAAAAACCTGTTTAGGTTTGTTCTGTAAGTTGAGAGGTTTTATTGTATATAGTTATGTCAATAATGAAATTTTAAGGGAAATCTTTTGCACTTTTTAAGAGCCTTTTTGAGCTGCTGAGGTGATGACATAATTACAGTTCATGTGGTTATGTAATCTGTAAAAATGTAAAAGTTCCACCTAAAATTTATATGCACTGATTTGGCTTTGCACTTCATCATTCACATCAATAAACTTGAATTTCTGAAAAGGCGTATGTTTTTTTTGTTTTGTTTTGTTTTTTAAACTGTAACCACTGAATTCCTTTAGGAAATGGTTGCATATAATCAGGCATAATAGGCCATGAAATAAAATTCAGATTGTCTCATTATATTTACTGTATTTCATGAAATTGTGTTACTAGTAATGCCTCTAAAACTATGCTTCTGTCAATGTGTCTGTAATATAAGATAGTTATGTAATTTGTAATTTTTTCCCTCTCGTTTTGACTTTGTTTTTATTTCATCTTAGTTTCAGTTGGTTTGCTTGTTTCAGTCTGTTGTTTAAATGTTTTAGTTTATTTTTTTATTAGTTTCGTCTTAGTTTTATAATATAACTGAATACTAAAGCTACGGTTATTTGTTCTATATATTACTTTAGTTTTCAAAGTTCAAGTTTATTTTTTCCTATTTTTTTTTATTTGCGCTATTTAAATAAGAGTTTTGAATAAGAGACAACAGAACAATACAAAGTTTGACTTGTGTATATTTAACCTATTTTCTACTCCCAGACATCACGTTTTTTCATACTATGAAGAAAAAAAGTGACATCAGCCTCTTTTTATAAACCGTTTTCCCGACTGTCAATGTCGCCGTTTGATTGGTCGTTGCGTCCTTCACTAACACGTTAGCCCCGCCCATCTCTGTCTTGACAGCGAACACAAAAAGGACATGTAGCCCAGCCTTTTCAAAGGACTGTTAGCTACTTAGCTACCTAATTAGCTACCTCGTTGAGCTTCAAAATTCATTGTCCTCATAAATCATTTGATTTCATTTGACCGAGCAGTCAGCCTATATGTAGCTAATTAGTTATTTCAATGGCGTTCAATGGCCACCAGCGAGACGACGATGATATTATTGACGAAAACGAAACGCCCTCGAAGCAGCCGCGGTCCGACAAGGAGATGCCCGTTCATTTCAGAAACGAGCCCAACAGTGAGAGTGCCACTACCGCAGGAAGGGCCACATCCGACCGGCGGACTTCCCAGTCGGCGACGAGGCATCGACACGACTCTGTGAAGAAAACGAGGCCGCGTATGTGTTAATGTTGGCAGCGTGGGCTTGGTGTATTTACTGGGAAAAGGGGGCTGCTGTATGTCTACAATAAAAAATAAAAAAATAAAAAAATCAGAGGCGTTCCCCATTATAGACAGTCGCTGTTGATAATATAGGTTTGGCAAGAAAACCCCGCAGTTGGTCACATAAATTTAAAAAATGTATATTTGCACTGGCCTTCTACTGTACTTGGTTTATAGCAAATGTGTGACTAATTTGGCATCCGATGTATTTATTATTGGTGGGCTGTAGTGGCAGCACATAGCCAGAATCTTTTTTCTTTTCTTTTTGCAACAAGATGGCGTTAGCGGTACACACTGTGCTGTTGCATCTATGGATGAAGCAGCTTTGCCATCATCTGGGTGAACGCTGAAAACTCAGCTTTATATGTGCCATTTACCATAAATATTTTATATTTGTAGATGTATGTATTTTTCATCACTGTGCAAAATATTTTTATTTACAAAAACGAGGGTGAACATCAGTTTTGCATGTGTTATCTCACATAATGTAGCATTCCCCTGGTTTGGGATGGACATCGGAGGCACTCTGGTGAAGCTCGTTTACTTTGAGCCCAAAGACATCACAGCGGAAGAGGAGCAAGAAGAGGTGGAGAATCTGAAGAGCATCCGGCGCTACCTGACCTCCAACACCGCCTATGGCAAGACTGGCATCAGGGACGTTCACCTGGAGCTGCAGGACCTGACGCTGTGCGGCAGGAAGGGCAACCTGCACTTTATTCGCTTTCCCACGCACGACCTCCCAGCCTTCCTGCAGATGGGCCGCGACAAGCACTTCTCCAGCCTTCACACCACCCTGTGCGCCACCGGAGGGGGGGCGTACAAGTTTGAGTCTGATTTCCGTATGGTGGGTCTGCTGTTGTGCTCTGTTTTGGGGGGTGGGGGGGTTATCTTGTAGGGTGTTGGGTATAGATTGGAATAAAAGCTATTTGCCTTGGTCGATCAGGAGGGGTGGGGGGCAGGCAAATGAGATGAGCATAGAGACGGAGCAAACAATATCCATTGGAAACACTGGAGAGATTGGTGAGACTGAGAACATGCTACTTCTGCTGGGTGGGGCTGGCAGTCTAGGGTCAGTAAAGATCATGAGATGAGCCATGAATTGTAGCACTGTTTTTGGCTTCATCTAAGCAAAAATGTGTTGGAAGTTGAGCAAACATGTACACACACATACTCACTTTCCAATGAACTGATTTAATTGGACAAATTATTATATTTTTATTATATTATAATAAAAATGCCTGCTCACTGATCTTTGTCCCTATCCCCTCCCCCTCATCCACTTCCCTGCTTCTGTATTCTCCAGACCACATCACTTTTCTGATGTTATCTCTGCTCCTTCTCCCACTTCTTTTTTTTTCCTCTCTCCTTTCGGGGGAAAAACAAAGATGGCTGACCTGGAGCTTCACAAGCTGGATGAGCTGGACTGTTTGATTCGGGGGGTGCTGTACCTCGACTCGGTGATGTCTAGCGGTCCCTCAGAGTGTTACTACTTTGAAAATCCTGCAGACCCAGACCACTGTGTCCAGAAGCCATGTACACTGGAGAATCCTTATCCTCTGCTGCTGGTCAATATAGGGTCTGGGGTCAGTATCCTGGCAGTCTACTCTGAGAACAACTACAAACGAGTCACTGGGACCAGGTAATGATGAGCTGGATGGCAGATGAGATGCTTCACAGGTTCTGTGCTATTGGGAAGTGAGTAGGAGTGAAGTGGAAAATAGCATTCGCCTACATTTAGTAACCTTAAAGCGAACTTGTTTATTAAATGTAATTTGATAATCTTGGGTTACGTTTGGATATTACAGGTTAGGTGAAGTGCAACTTTTGAGGTCTAAAAGGCCATGACTAGCATGGGCACCGGCTGGGTTTTCCTACGTTTCATCCTTCTTTTTTTTTTAGTTTCAGCCCTTGGTCCTAAGAGAGGAAGATGAATTAGAGAAGAGCATTGTGACACTAGCAAAGGGTAAACTACGTGACACCAGATTAATGTGATTCAGGAAGGTGCAGTCCAGTCCAGTCGGTGCCTTTGTGTGACGTTCCCGTTACCTTCCACTTTCATTACAAACTGCTTTCTTGACAAAAAATAATTCATTCGTTCTGGATTTAGTCCGTACATTTAAAATAGTCAATTATAGTCATTTTTTTTTCTTTAGGTAGAGGGAGAAAAAAAATCCTTTGTAGTCTGCCCTCTAGTTTGTTTTCACATGTGGTTTTTCTGTCTGCTGGCTTTGAAAGGTAAGGGACTCATGAATGCTTGTTTCTTTCTCCACATAATGGCCTTCTGTCCTCTGTACTGGGAAAGAACTCATGTATTTGAATGAGCAGTCTTTAATGCATAGACGTGTCTTTCCCCTGTAATTTCAGAACCTAAACACTTTATTTTACTCTAAGATGTCTTGATTTACATACGCCTTACATGTCACTTTGCATGTGTTCACAGCCTTGGTGGTGGGACCTTCCTTGGCCTGTGTTGCCTGCTGACCGGCTGCTCTACATTTGAGGAAGCCTTAGAAATGGCTTCTCAGGGGGAGAGCACGCGTGTGGACAAGCTGGTGCGAGACATCTATGGAGGGGACTATGAGAGGTTTGGGCTGCCAGGCTGGGCTGTGGCCTCAAGGTGCGTTTTAAAGCTGCTGCCTTTGTTCATTCTTTATATCACAACCCTGTTTGTGATATGTTCCAGCATAAGTAGATGATTCAAGGAACCAGGACTGTGCTAAGTTTCCTTAATTTTGAATCTCACAATTGAAATTTAGTAAAAAAGTAAGCTCTAAATTACAGATCCATCACTGCAGCTTTCAGTGTTTAGCTATATCTGTCTTAAAAACGAATGTACTTTGACGTATTCTGTCCGCTTTGGTGTTGTTTATAAGATGTTCAGTATTGCTGTACGTCAAAGGCAGAATTATAATTGCTCAGCTTCTAAAATTGAGCGACCTTCCAAACATAAATCTTGCCTTGCTTTGGCAGTTTCGGCAACATGATGTCTAAAGATAAGAGGGAGTCTGTTTCTAAAGAGGACCTGGCCAGGGCAACACTGGTCACCATCACCAATAACATCGGCTCCATCACCAGAATGTGTGCTCTGAATGAGGTTAGTGATGACAATGTAACAGCCACACCTTAAGTGTGCATTTGTTGCACTGTGAGTCTAAAGGCCGCGATTGCAGATATATATGATGTAAAGCTGTGAGGTGAGCCACCTAGATGGAGGATGCTGTGTAGCCTCTAAATGATCAAATCAGCTACACTTACAGAGTATATATGTTACCATCTACCTCATTGTTCATTCAGAGACTGCAAGGAATTAGGATTTGTGTTCCCAGTTGCACAACTATAAAAAGGTTTGAGGAGGTTTTTTTGTCTTCCTCTGTTGAACAGTCTGCCCCCTGCAGTTCCTACTGTCTGTTTCCTCTTTGCGTTCAGCCTCTTTACGGTGCTGCCTTGTGCCGTCTTGATCAAGCAGCATTGTACAGGGCTATGAAGGCGTAGAGGAGGTAAACTGCATTGTGGATCTTCTTTCCTTGAGCTATGAATGAGTTACATTATTTCCCTTGTTTTTCTAGTGTGATATCAGTTATTCTAAAACTCTGGTGTCTCTCATCAGTTGTTTAGGCACTAATAGTTTACATCCCTATTCTTGTTTTGTTTTTTTTTTTTTGTAAAGAACATCGAGACTGTGTTGTTTGTTGGGAACTTCCTAAGAGTGAACACCCTCTCTATGAAGCTGTTGGCTTATGCCATGGACTACTGGTCTAAAGGTCAGCTCAAGGCACTCTTCCTTCGCCATGAGGTTAGTAAGTTTACCCCTTACTCCCATGAAAGACCACATGTATAGTATCTTCTAACTTCTAACTGCCACCTTGTGCCATTTGTTGCTGTTTTTAGGGTTACTTTGGTGCAGTTGGAGCCCTGTTAGAGCTTCTGCATCCGTCCTAATCCACCCAAAGAAGTACCTGTCAATCTGCTGCAAAGACCATTAGCACTTTAGACTGTTACCAATTAGTTCCAGTGTGAGATGTTATTCCAGCCACCCACCAGTTGCTGGTAAATCTTGTAAAGTTTGTTAAGTGGTGAAATTCACTTCTAGGTTTTTCTACACATCTGCTATTTTGGTCAGTAGATGAAATAAACCGGTTTCCTGCCATGAAGTTGTACACAGCAAAGCTGACAGTTATTGTATGCAGGACTCTGCAGAAATGAGCCACGTTTAGTCTGAAGCACCTCAAAGAAATTCACCGGGGTTGCCTGAAACACTTCATTTAAAAAGTACTTTTCCGCAGGCAGTCCTGTCATGTTGACTTTCTTTACCCCTCAGTGGGTATCAGGTTCTTGTCCAAATATTTGCTATCATTTTTAACTGTATGTTACCCAAGGTGGGACCAGGTGGATGGAAGAAGTAATGAAAGTATAATTCGTCAGTGTGATGTGGCTTAAATTTTAGAAAATGACTATAAAATCACCAACTTAATTTCAGACACAATGTATTTTAAATGCTTTCTCTGGCATTAGAAAAATTGAGCTTTTTTACAGTTTTGTATGGAAACAACTGCTGGTTATTCTTGGAAAAAGAAAGTATCAGCTTTACCTTAGGAGTTAGTAACTGCTCTCTAAAACTGTAATGTAATAAATGATGAATTCATAATGAATTGAGTTTAGTGTTTCTGTTATTAACCTGATGGAACTCCCATCCACCTGGTGGCCTTGATAAGCTTTAACACTGCAAAAAATTACAACCATTTACTTTTTGTTTTTTCTTTTCTGTCTGTTTTATTATGTAACATTTCAATGTCACTGTTGGATTTGAAATGAAAATATTTAACAGAAAAGAAAAATACATTTCAGGCCACTATTTTAAGCAGATCTGTTACTGTTATAGATTATATAACATTTCTATATGATTTCTGCCTCAGTGAAGAGTGATATAGCACTCTTAAAATGCTCTTCCCAGTTGAGATTTCAGTGCTGGTAATCAAAAACGGTGTTGTGTATTAGGATATCTGCACTGCTGGGTGTCAACTGTTCTTGAACCAGTCTATTCCTACAGAGAAATCAGAGCAATTGATTAGACAAATATTGATGAATGAGCATGTGAAGTACAGGTAATAGTCGTGGCATCATTCACATAAATAAAACGGGCATTTTAAAGCAGAAACTTGATTGATTCCCAACAACAGAGGTGTTTAAACGCTGTGATCCCAGTTTAGGTTTTTCCTATTCAGTAAGCACTCAGATATTGAGTGAATGTACTACTTGCTGTGACGATCGTTCATTATTAAGGTTATATCAAAGTTGAACTGAGAAAACTGAAACACTGTTAGAGTTTCATTATCCGTCCGGTTTTATTGTTTTCTGTTTAGTAACGAGTCCATCCATCGATTATGGGTCAATAAAGTTAATCTAAGCAGTGAAGAGACGACTTGGTAAATAGCTGAGGACACGGTTTTTCAGGTGTCAGTTATTAGAGATCTATGAGCAAGTTGTAGATACACTAAGCTGATTTTAAATGAAGTGCCTCACATGTTTTTGTACCAAATACAGTATAGTATTCAGCCATGCGATTTTTAAAATTAAAACTTGTGTTTTTCAAGCTCTCTCTCCTTTTGCTTATACAAAGAAAACTTTGTACTTTTTTTGTAATAGAATAATGTCACGTTTCTTATTGAATTTCCCTATTAAATACCAACTTGGCAAACTCTTCATGTTTCTAACTACACGTGGACATATCATTTGGGGATATTTAAATGACAAGTTATTCATTTTTAAAATGTATTTTTACTTGGAGATAGCTGAGTTTGTAGCTAAGCTAAAATGTTCAACCAGCCACTTCAGAATAATGAAAATCAGGTTACTTTAAGTGCTTACAGATTAGCTTGGCTACTAAACAGCTACTCTTTAAAATGGCACTTGTTATACTGCAGTATATTATGCTATAGTGTGTTGCACAGCTTAAAAACTAATGAGGTTGTGGGTAAATTTCATGCTTGGCCATAGCCAGGTTTTTGCTTTCTACTGTTCATGCTAAGCTAACAATAAGCTACATCTAGTTGCTCTATAAGCTAGTTCTTCTAGCTGTTTCTGGGACTTTGCATAAGTTGCGTTTGTGGGATGTTTTGTTTTTCTATTACTTAACCTGACAAGTGCCAAATAGTGGGATACAATAAGTGTAGAAAATTTTAAAGAGTCACTGGCGTGGCACTAAGGAACAACTTCGCCTCAGGTAAGTGAATGCATGTTTTATAGAGCTGGGCAGATCGATCAAAATATTGATAGAATCAATACCAGTGATGCTATTGGTATGGGATTGCTAATAAAAATGCACCTCAAACAAGCACTTTGAAAAATGTCTGAGCATTTGTTGTCTTGACTGTCACGGCTATTTTATGTATATCTTATAGCACATTTAACCAACTTTCCAGGTCTCCAAAGATGCCAGGTTCAAAATACATGAAAAGCTGAAAGCTGTGTAAAAATAAAAAGAATCACAGTGATAATTTTGTGGTCATTAAAATGTGTCCAAAATGTGTGAATTTATGCTGATTCACCATATAAATCATGACTTACTAATCTCTACTACATACGCTGTTTTTAAAGGTTAAAACTGTCAGTGTTGGTATCAGCAATACTGGGGATCGAGACCAAAATTTCCAACAGAACAAATTCCAGTATTTTAGTGATTTACCACTGAAAATATTTAATACGTAATTCCCGCTTTTATTTAATTTATTTATTTATTTTTGTCTTTGCTGGTTTAAACCTACCAAAACGCATCCGCCTCCTCTAACTTGACAGAAATGTCTGTCTCATCTTGGTTGATATAAAATCTTAAAGTGTATCTTTATTCCATTTGGCACAGACAGTCTATGCAGTTTGGTCAGTTTCTTTTCAAGATATAATCGGAGGAGGATTTAATGTACCAAGTACTACTTGGCCAGCACTACTGGCAACATCAAGTGGATTGCAAAAACCATTAGCAGAGGCATTACAGCTGGAACTGTCGATGTGGTCGCACATTTTTAACCCCGGTTGTAAATCTGCCGCTGACACGTTGTGCGCTTTAACAGACACGTAGGCTCTGAGTGAAACTGGCGAAGTGATTTTTTTTCTTTTCTTTTTTTTTTTGAAGTTACGAAAGGCAAGACAGTCTGTTACAGAACCATCCATGAAAGAGTCTGTGTCTTTCCAGGGGGGAAAAAAATAATCCAGCCCCCTTCAGTCCCGTACCCTCCTCCTCCTCCTCCTCGGGTGAGGGCAGCTGCCAATTTACGGACAACAACGTTTGAAGAAGGTGGACCACTGCCCTACAAATGAAACCTGTGTCTGATGGAGGGGGCGATTTAGCACAAGAACTGGGATTTTATGCTTCCTCTGACTTTGGGTTCAGTTAATAAACTTCAAGACACATCTCCCTCTCTCCATTAGACCCGCTGTAACCTTTCCGCCGTGGCATTATAAGGTAAGACTACTTCATGATTAGTCAGATTATTTGATGCAATTTTTTACACAAGTCATAGTCTGGATTTAAAACAAAAACTATACTGTATTATTTGAAAGCCGTGAAGCTGCCTTACCGTCTGCGCCGTAGGTATGCTCTCCCAGTACGCAGAGTGGTAAAACAGGCTGTTTCTCTGATGCAGAATCAAACATGTGAGGAATGTTGCGACAGGAAAGACAAACAGTGACTTCGGAAAAATCCGTCTGTCCATTCACAAGAAACTTCCTGCGTGGTGTGAGGTGCTGATGTGGATCTGGATTTGAAGAACCATTTACTGAGATTTAAAAATAATAATAATAATAATAATAATAATACTGTAAATCCTTTTTATATTAAGATATTGATAAATTGATTTGTGCTCAGATGCTTTTAACAGCCAGTTAATCATCCAGATTAAATAGTCCAACTCCTTGTTTAGATGAAGGAGATGATGAACCAGAATGCCAACATACTTAAACTGCACTGTGTCAAAATGTCCAGGAAATGTTTAGCCACCACAGATTTCCATGTTGTGCTGCTTTATTGAAACGGGCTTATGGGTCAGTTTTGTCCTCCATCCATCCAACTCCTTGTGGCTCATCTGGACTATTCTTAGTATAAAGTTTCACAAAGTACCCCAAAAGTCAATAGCATGTTGCAAAAAGGCAGGGAAATCTTTTTTTTAGCCCATAGAGCTCAAACTGCTAGTTTATTTTCAGTCTGTGAAAGTACAGCACAGTACAGATTTCTGCAAGTATTTAGAGATTAAGAATGAGATATGTGTGGCTTTTGGTGGGAATGTGGGCATGATGTTGTGCAGGGTAAGACTTTATAATGGCCAAGAGTGTTGTGTATGTGGGTGAGTCAGAGCTGTGCTGATTTGGTGAACTGCTGCCCGGTTGATTTGAGCCTTTCACAAGACATGATCCATGAGCACATTGGTATGGAGAGTGGCTGCTTTGATGATAGAAATAGAAACATTAGGATGAGAAAATGGGTGATTGGATCAGAAACATCAGATTCAGACTTTGTATCGAGGTTCTTTTTTAACAAAGGCTACAGAAACCAGAAAATAACTAGTTATTGTTTATACTCCACTAGTTCTTCAGGCTTTCTGGAGGTCTTCCACCTAGCTCAATGGATGAATCTATTTTGTGTCTATACATGACAGACAGTTTACCAAATAACTGGTTTTAAATGGTATCTTTAGATATTTTCTTGCTGTTGCAAAAACACATAATTTGTTTATTTCTCAAAGATAACACAGTTTGGCTGGCATAAAATAGTATCTTCCCAAATAGCTGTTGGCTGAAAACGTGGCATGGTGTGCAGTGTGTTCTTTAAAAAATTGAGGAAAGTGGAGGACAAACGCAAAAGTGGCCTAAAATAAAGCTATCTAGAGTAGATGACCAGTAGCTACGTTTTGCATCCTTAATCAATAACAGAAAAGGTTAAGGTATACCAAATTATACGAAAACTACACTGAAAAACAGAGACAAATCAGTAATATGAAGTCAGGAATCCAAGTTGGAAATGTTTGGTTCAAACCATTGTCAACATGTACAGAGGTGATCAGGAAAGAAGTACTACAGTGTTTTACAGCCATCTGTAAAACACAGTGGAGGCTCTGTCATGGTTTGGGGCTGGAATTCAGCCAGTGGAGTTGGAGGTCTCATCGAAACTGATGGAATTATAAACAGAAAAACATCATCAGATCTGATCTTCCATGTGGTAAAATCTGGAAAGCATCTGATTGGCAACTGCTTAATTTATCTCCATTACAATGATCCCAAAGACACTGTCAGCCCACTAAAACATACCTGAATAGAAAAAGATTGGCTTCCCCCGAGTGCAGACCTCAGCGTTACTGAAGCAGTGTGGGATCATCTTTGACAGGGAACACAACAAAAGGCAGCCAACATCCAAAGTGCTTTGAATGGCCTTTGAGAAGCCCGGAGAACTATTCCTGGAGACTACTTAAGGAAAGCTTGTCTAAGAGAGTTCAGGCTATGTTGTAGACAGTCAAATATTGCTTTTCAGGCTTGTTATACTTGTACAAAGTCTTTGTTTGCCTTATATATTATGTTTGTATTTATCTTTACACAGCTTTTAATAAGTCCCAGCACCTAGTTCTCATTTTCCTTCAAAGACATAAAGAAATTAAGGGTGGCCTAATACCTTTGCATGGTTCTGTATCCTTGCTTCCATATGGGATGATTCTATGTCACGTAACCTGGAGGTCATTATTTTTGTTGGGTGTCATGTCTGTCAATTATGATAACTCTATACTGACCAAAGTACTGCCTGACATCTGAAAACATGGTGATTTTTGCAATAGTAAAGGCAAAGACACACAGCGGGTTGTAAATGGTTTAAACTACTGACAAAAGTTAGCACATTTGAAATGGTGATAATAATAGGTCTTTACACACAAAAATTATGTGTATGTCTAAAAAACAGGAAGCTGTCTGTAAACTCTGATGGATGTTTACAACAGAGTTAAAATGTTAGTGTTGGTCTGCCACATATTTTAGCAAAACTTTCCTTGTTTACAACCTTTACTCTATAATAATCTACAAAAGAAACCCCAAAAAACGGGGAACAAAATACAATGAAGCAAATCATTTAATGCAAAATGCAAAAAGTAGTTCAAAAATGTATCCTATGTTGAAACTATGTGAAACTGTGTGATGCTAACTAAAGAAACTAACACGCTAACAATGAAGTTGATTAGAATCAGGCCAGTAAAATGGTTGGGGAGGGGGGGGGAAGCATTCCAGAGATCCAGAGTTCTCCAAAGTCATAGTCAGGATGGGAAAATGGTTCCGAACAAAAATATTTCTTAGCTTGAAATTACAGAGAATTTAGGGCTTCCTGTATACAACTGACATGGGCAAAAGATTCTCAGCTCTCATGTCTGCTCTATGATAAGAAAATGAAAATCTGTAAATAGTTGATACCACATCCTCTGGTGCTGAAGAGCATCTGGCTTGTTAGCACCTCATATTTCAAAAGCCAGCATCCATGAACCTTTAACAGTTCATTACCTCACAAGGCGTGAATAACTTGTGCATCTGTAAAGACATCATTAATACTAAAGGACATATAATATAAACAAATACTTCCACCTAAATAGCATCCATTCCAAGGAAGGCCATGCTCAACCTATATGCACATATTATAACAGCATCATTCTGCAGTAAAGGAGACAATTATGTAGTCCAAGTTTGTCACCCACTAAAAATATTTAATGAAAATATGCAAAGAGTCAGTAACTCTTCTGGCTTTGATGTGTCTCATCAAACTCATTCATTGTAGCCAAACTCATGAATCAAACTCGTTCAGTCCTTCTTAGTTTCCAGCTTCCATGTGCTCAGCACACACATCCTTACAAGCCTCACTGGGTCTCACAGACCATAGTCAAGAAGCGAAACAACTTTCAAGTTGTGTGTCTGACAGAATAAGAAGACAAATTCTAAAACAACAAATGTCTGCAAGGAAGTGTGTAAACGTCAGTTTATTATTCTGTAAGGGAAACATTTGCAGTGATATGCTCTGCTAACTACCCGGATGTAAGGAAACAGTGTTTTCATTTGATTTTCTTCTTAAAAAATATTTTTGAGAACGATTCAAGACACAGAACACACAAATAAGCAGCTTCAGACGTGCTGGCTATGCCGTTAAAAGCCTCTTCTGACCAACTGTGAATGTGTGTGTCCTTCCATTCGGCGTGAAATTGGACTCAGATGATGTACTCAGCCTTAGATCATGTTTTGGAAAGGTTAACTTAAGTTTGTGGTTTCTGTACAAACACACCACACTGCTGCATTTGTGTCTCTGGAGGGACAGACGTCCACTCGCTAAAAGCTCAAAAGGAGCGTGGCTGTCAGGTTATCAATAGCAGGCCTATGCCGAAAAGAGCAGAATGAGGTTTTCTGAGAAAAATCAGACTTTTGGTATTTCATAGAAAAAAACATTTATTAATAATTTATTAATTATTAACCCAGAGTACTGTCTGTTCGGCATTGTGAAACATTAGCACGCACAAATTGAAAAAGGTTGAACAGAAAGCTACAAGGACACTTTAATTAATTTAATAGATATAAACATTCATGTGGCCTTTAAATTCAGCCAGATCATGGGGTCATTAAAGCCTGCGCGATCTCCTCCCACCCCCACACACATCAGAATCAAGTATTAACCAGCTGGTTTGAATCAGACCGCTGGAGCAACTCTACACTCTTAACATCAATCCTTCCATGTGTTGAGCATATTTGAGGCGCTTTTTTCAGCAGCAGTTGCAGCTATTTAGAAAATACACTGAGGGCGAGCAGTTTGTGTGTTGTGCACGATGTGCTGAAAACACTGTTGCAATTACTGTATTTGCGCCCCTTCTGATTTCCTAATTTTTTTGCATGTTTGTCAAACTTGTGCGTTTTAGCTCATCAAACAAATTTAATGTTAGACAGAAATAACCTGAGTAAATACCGAATATAGTTGTAAAAATCAGGATTTCATTTATTTTAAAGTTTTTTAAAAGTTATATATATGACCTATGTGGCCCTATGCAAAAAGGGTAAATGACCATTAACCATAATAGCTCGTTGTGTCACTTTTTCCAGCAAGAAGTGCAATCATGCATTTCTTATATCTAGTCACGATCTTTTAAGTTGCTATGGGGGACTATTTGGTTTTCGAGCATGAACGGCCCGTGTAAGGTCACACAAGCTAGAATCTCAATCTGGTTTAAATCTGGAGTTTTCCAAAACCTTCATTTTGTTTTGTTTTTTGAGCCAATCAGAGGTGGACTTGCTGGTATCAAGTGTGCTTGAGCTTCAGAGCAGTAAGTCACTGCCGAAAATTCTCCTTCATTATTTTCTGTTTGACAGTAGAATTCATGGTCCCATCAATTACAGCAAGTCCACGTCCTGAAGCTACAGAGCAGCAAAGCAGCCCCAGACCATCACACTACCACCACCATGTTTGGCTGTTTTTATGAAATACTGTGTTCGTTTTATGTCAGATGTAGCAGGACTCAAACCTTCCAAAAAGATCAACTTCTTTTTCATCAGTCCACAGAATACCTCCCCAAAAGTCTTTGAGATCATCAAGATGTTTTTTTGGGAAATGTGAGGCGAGCCTTTGTGTTCTTTTTGGTCAGCAGTGGTTTTTGTATTGGACGCCATTTTCGCCCAGTTTCTTTCATATTGTTGAACCATGAGCACTGATCTTAACGGAGTAAAGGCCTGCAGTTCTTTAGATGTCATTCTGCGTTCTTTTGTGAACTTCTCCTGAAAGAGTCGTTGATGTGCTTTTGGAGTAAAGTTGTAAGGCCAGCCACTTCTAGGGAGGTTCACCACTTTTCCAAGTTTTCTCAATTTGTAAATAAGGACTCTCACTGTGGTTTCTCAAAGGATTTGAAATTGTTTTGTAACCCTTTCCACTGATTAACAGATGTCAATGACTCGGTTTCTCAGCTGTTTCTTCAGTTCGTGGCATAATGTTTTGCTTTTTTTGAGATCTTTTAAGCGACATCACTTTGTCAGACAAGTTCTTTTCAGGGAGTTTTGGATTCATCAGGTCTGGTAAAGAGACCAGTGTGAGGATAGTGGTTACTCTCAGTTAAATCATGATTTAAAAAGGGGTGAAAATGTGAGAAATATGGAAAAAGAACTAAGAAATCATGGAGAGGGTTAGTACTTTTTCATTACACTGCATTGGGGCACCCAGAGACTCTTCAAGGAATCAGGGTTAAAATTCTGGGGTCACCTTTTTATACCAGTCAATGAAACCATATTAGAGTGGGAGCTGATCTAACTAAGAAAGAGGGGTCGACTTTTTCAAAAAAATACTTCAAAGAGTTAAATCTCTGTCTGAATTGACGTAAAGGAATATTTGGTAATTACAGCACAAACAGACTTTTTTCCCAGTGAAAAACGAGTTGTAGAAATCAGTACAACTCTGATATCTGTGTTGTTTTCTCTCTGTGTTTTCTTAAATGTGAAGTATATAATAACTTTCTTGCACCTTCCTTTATATGCAGCTGAAATAATGGATAAATCAAGATGCAAGCAGCAGTTAGCGTTCAGCCTCCTGCTTGGGTTGTGGTTGCCTTACTGTTTAACTCAAACTACACCGTCAAACACCGCCACGTCAAAGCCCACAACGACACCGACACCATCCCCATCCCCCCGGCCCGAAAGACTAAAGGTCAGACTGTCTGGATATCCTCGAAAACACAACGAGGGACGGATAGAGCTGTTCTACAAGGGAGAGTGGGGAACCATCTGTGATGACGACTTCACGATAGCTAACGCCCACGTACTTTGCCACCATCTGGGCTTCGTCTCAGCCACAGGATGGACCCACAGTGCTAAATATGGCAAAGGCCAAGGTAAGGGTGGCTTCAGCCATGAGTGTGTCTAATTTCAGCATTCAGTTAAATATACTGTGTGATCATCCATTTGTGTTTTACATGATGTAACACACATAAGGGTGTTCAGAAAAGTAGTTGTTTCCAACAACATTATGTGCCAACATAAAATTTCGTTTGTCTAGACTCCCCAGTGTGAAGCACTTGAAGGTAATACTTACATATAAAGTTAAACCCAGTATTATGCTATTAATATTTAGTGAAATAATTCTTGCTCAAGCAGAAAGTATCTCAGGAACCACAGGGTTGGATTGGGTCATCTGACTGGTGATCCAGACTATTAAGCATGAGATTGATGTCTTTAGCTTTTTGTGTGATGTGTTGAAAATGATTGATTAGAATCGTTTTTTTATTACCATTTGCACGGCTTCCCAACTTTTTTTGAATTGGGGTTGTATTTTTGTTCACCTCAGTGACTACTACCTAAATTGTAGTAACTGTGAAACGCCTTTACTTTTTAGGAAGTGCATTAGGACAATTTTTTGTGGTCCTACACAATAAAAAAACAGTATGTTTCCAGATGTTTATGAATAAATATTTGTAAAATAATAACATTCCCATCACCTCTAGCTGTACTTAGGTTTTTGGAACTAATTAAGTTGCCATGCTAACATTCCATGAACATGTTAGCATTGCCTTTGTGTGTAAGTAACGACGTCAATGTTAGCATTTAGATCGACCTTAGAAAGCCGCCGTGTCTAGCCTTAAAAAGTCTTGTAGAGTCTTGTAGTGATTTTAATAAAGCTATAACCACCGAAATCGTAAGTGCAGCTGCAAACGTTTTTTCCTAGACCACCAGTGTTGCAAACAAGTGCTACTTCCAGGTTTGGGTTTATTGCTTTCTCCCTCCTGGGAGTGTGGTGGAGTTTCCCTAACAGTCTGTCGCCTGCGTAGGAAAAATCTGGCTGGACAACGTGCAGTGTCACGGAGGTGAGAAGAGCATCGAATTCTGCAAGTCCCGTGGCTGGGGCAACAGCGACTGCACTCACGATGAAGATGCCGGAGTTGTCTGCAAAGATGAGAGGATACCCGGCTTCGTGGACTCGAATGTTATTGATGTAAGTTGCCCAAACATATTTAAGAGAGATTAAGTTAGAGTCGATTAAGAAGCCGTCGCTTGTTCATAAACAATCCTTTTTCTTCACAGTTTATGGACTTGACTCTGTGCAGCTCCACCTGTGGCTAGTGCACATGGTGCTGATTAGCTCTTTTTCTATAACTTGTCTAACCTGCTGAAAGCAAAAGCTTCTCCAAGTGTAAACTCCTGAGGTAAAATTGTAATAAACTTAGCAGCTACAGTCAGTTATAGCCGGGCAAAACACTTGTTTTGTTGTTGATCCAGTAAATTCCTGGCTATGATGCTTTCGTAGGCTTGAAGGTAAAGTAGTTTAATTTGACCATTCATCTAGGTCTCTGTAGTTTTGTAGTTTTAAAAGTGTTTTGTACCAATTGCCAGTGAAACTCATGTGCATTTTGAAAAAATGGATGTCACCAGTTCATTTATGAGTTTCTGTACTTGAGGCAGGACTTCTGCGTCTAACACCTCGGCTTACGTTATGCAGAATACATGAATGTCAAGCTCAAAGTTAAACCACGCCCTCATTTAATAAATAAAGATGTGCAACTCAGAGCCTCTCAGGACACACACATAGGTGGGTTGCTGGCTGAGATTTTTTTCCAGTCGGTCTCTGTCTTTGATGTTGTTTGCATAACTGAATGGTCCCAGGTAAACAAGGTTATTCTGGTGACTCGTCTTCACAGACTGAATGAGCAGATGACACAGGAAGATTGCATTAAATACAAAAAGCTTCATAGGAATAAGTGAGTGGATTTTCAGATACATGACCATCTTCCCTCTTTTTCTTTGTTGCTGTGAGTGAGGGTTGCTTAAATGTGGCATCCAGACTTTAATCTACGACCAGAGCCAGATTTTTCTTTTCCAAATAAACAGCAGCGGAAGTGAGTCAGTGCATCGCTGGCAATCGGAGTCACGTTTACCACTCGTGAGCTGTTAGTGAGAGCACGAGACCTGAAAAATACTGTCCGGTACAGACGTGAGTCAGTGTGTAGTCTGGTCCTCTCATGCAGGACAAGTTTCATAAATAGTTTAGCTTTCATCCATATAATTTAGCTCCAAGAGCAACTTGTGATCCTGTATAAATAAATATATTTGTTATTTATTCCTGTTCTGCAAGGCACAAGTTGATGAGAACAAAGTCGAGGAGGTGCGACTCAGGCCAGTGGTTGGCGTGGCCAAAAAGAAGCTGCCCATCACGGAAGGTGTGGTAGAGGTGAAATACAAAGATGGCTGGGCACAGATCTGCGATGTAGGCTGGACAGCCAAAAACACCCGCGTGGTCTGTGGCATGCTGGGGTTCCCTCATGAGAGGAAGGTCAACAAAAACTTCTACAGGTAAGTGAATTGCATCAGGTTATGAGGCTGTTTGTGTATATCGTTTCAGCAAGAGAGACCCCACACTACTTTAAAAGGGAAAGCATGTTTGTGTTTTTCTTTTGGTTGCTTTTGGAACCTTTATTTAGCAAGAAAGTGAAACTCTGGAGACAAAGGGTGTCTTTTGAGAGAGAGAGTCTTAGGCCAAGATAGGCCATTTTAAACTAGCATGTTTTTTAATAGTGGGAGAAACCCAAGATCCTGAGAAAAACCAGCGAAAACACAAGCAAATCCCCCATTTATTGATAATAATCTTCAACTAATCTCGAGAAAGACATTTGTTTTGTTGCCAAGACTCAGATGAGACGATCACATGTCTGTATAGTAAATGTGAAGCTTGACCTAGACGCTTGTTTCAGTTCTTCCACCTTTGTTACTTTCATCTACTTTCGGTCTTTATGTTAAAGGCTGCTGGCAGTAGCTTCATGTTTAAGACCAAGACAGAGTAGGGGAAATAATTGTTTGATTTTCTGCTGAATTTGTAAGTTTGCTCACTACCAATGAAATGAACAGGCTCTATTTTGATGGTATTTTCATTTTAACAGAGAGAGGCAGGATATCAACCACAAATCCAGAAAAAATACATTACATAAAAGTCATACATGTTTAGGTTAATGAGAGAAATAAGTATTTGATCCTCTTCAAGCAGCCAAAATTCTTTCTCTCATAGATTGTCTTTGTGCCCATGCAGCACATAGATTTCAATCAATCAATCATTGAATTACAGATCTGAACTTGGCATATGTATGAAGCACCTGTCCATCAGTTCCTTCAATTCCAACCTCTTCACCACCAAGAGAGGAGGCATTGGTGTTCTCACAGTCACTGAGAACACCATTGGTAATACGCTGTGCTGTAATAATTGAAATCTTGGCCTGACCGCAAGGTTTACCTGCTCAAGAAGGCACATGCAGAGGCCTATCTTAAGCTTGCCAGAGAACATTTAATGATTCAGAGAAGGCTTGGGAGAAAGTGCTGCTAACAGAAGAAAACAAAACTGATCCCTTGGGCAACAACTCAGCCTTCCATGTTTGGAGGAAGAGAAATGCCGAGTATAACCCAAAGAACACCATCCTCACAGTCAAGCACGGAGGTGCAAACATGCTTTTGGGGTTGATTCAGGATGACTTCAGTGCATTGAGGGATCAGTGGATGGAGATATGTACTGTAATATCTTGGATGAGAACCTCCTTCCCTCAGCCAGAACCCTAAAGATAGGTAGCGGCTGGGTTTTCCAGCATGACGGTGACCCAAAAAGTATCACTAAGGGAACAAAGGAGTGGATAAAGAAGAACCACATTAAGGTCATAGAATGTCTCAAGACCTCAGTCCTATAGAAAATCTGTGGAGTCATGAAACCTAAAGGATTTAGAGAGTTTCTGTGAAATGGACTGGGACAAAATCCCTCATGAGATTGCTGTTCGTACCAACAAAGGCTACCCCACCATGTACTAAGTGATGTTTTGCTTGGGAATCAAATTCTTGTTTCAAATCATTTTATGACCTTTATTTAATGTGTTTTTTCTGGACTTTTGGTTGATATTCTGCCTCTCTCCATTAAAAGGAAACTACCATAAAAATGAGAAATTGCTCATTTTCAAGTGAACAATGTCACAAATTCAACAGGGGATCAAATAATTATTTCCCCCACTGTATGAATCTCAAACCCCCTAAAATAAGAAGACGTATGCTTCTTAAAATACCCAACTCTTCTTTTAAATTGATAGGAAAGAGAAACCAATTGCACAGCCTATAAAAATGTATTCAGTTATAGCGGACTTTCTTTTTCCAAGTTTATTTCTCAGTGCCAGCAGTGGGAATCCGGCTGCTTGTAAACAGTGGCTCTAACTTGCTCTTTCCCTCATTCACTTGGGATATTTGCTGCAGCCTCTCTGACATTATTCCCACACTTTTAGTGTGTAAACCAAAGTGGCAACAGTTTGACCAAACCTCAAGCGAGATCTTAATCTGTGTACAGTAAAGAGCAGACATTATAGTGACTGCTGTTTACTGTGGCTGTGACAGGGAATGCGTGTAGACTTCGCCTGCCAACGCTGCATGTGCTGTCTGCAGCACAGCTCGTGTGAGGAAAGCTTCAGCATTTTGTACGAGCGTCTGATTGTTCTCTTCTGGTTCCTATTTCTTCATTCAGAGGATGTTTTTGTTGTTCTTTGGATAGACTGCAAAGCTGAAAAACCTCTTGGGCTGTACTCAGTACCTTGCAAAGGAAGTTGACGTGACTGTTAACTGTGTGCATGATTGGAAACCACAGTCCGATTTGTGTTATCACAACAATTACCAGTTAAGATTTCACCTGGAGTGTTGATGTCTTATGATTGCAATAAAAAACATAACCTATCTTATGATTTTTATGTTTTGCTTCCAACGTCATATATCAAGCCAAATTTCAGGCCTTTCTTTTTGTTTTAAAACTATGTAGACTGGATAGAGCAGACCCTGCTGTGTTGTATGAGAACAGTGATTCCCTCCAGAGCGACTGCAGACATTCCTGGCTGCACTCCATTCAAGGACGTTTTATTCGTCCCCTGCAGACGGTTCACAGTAGTACGAGGGGAAATGTGTGTTTTCTCTCAGACACGTGTGAAGGCTGAGGCTTTGGGGGGAGGTTTGGAGTCAGAGAACGGGGGTCTGGGTAAGATAATGAACAGACTACTAGGACATGAAATGAGTCACAATGTTCATCTTTTTGGTGATATTTTATAGAACAAAGAGCTTCCAGTAGTCATACTTCACTACTTAAAAATACCTTGAGTTGTGTGTAGTCATAAACAATGTGGCAACGAAGCTGAGGCGATAAGTGAGCCTTAGATTAGATCAGCAAAGTAAAACTCAGCCTCCGGTCCAAGCTAATAACAGCTGGTCCAACTCACATTAACTGTTGGCTTAGCTACCACCTTTCTACATTTCCAATTGGAAAATCTCAAACTCCTCCTTTCATGCTGACCTAATCAGTGCTACGTGTGATGTCACTGATACCTGATCTGTTTTGCTCAGGCAGTCTGCAAGCTATTCAAGTACCCAGTAGTCTTTATATGCTGTGCAGAGCTTTGCAAACCAGTCTCTATATGTTGCAGCTGTAACTGTAAAAAAAAACAAACCCTGCTCTTCCCCTTGTGGTGAACTTTGCTGTGACTCCATTTCCTGTTTAAGCCAAATTTTAAACTGATTAGTATTAGACTTGCCACATCAGGCTACGCGCTGTTTTGAGGCCCTGCATGCAAGGACATCTCCAAAGCCTCTGCACTGGTTGGTTCCTGGCCACGAGTGTGGAAGCGTGTGGAAGTCAAAATACAGGAGATTACCGTCAAATATAAATAACTGCAATCACTAGTAACTAATAAATTCCTTTCTCAGTGGTGATCCTTACTAAAATGGATTTTTGGAGCCGGCGCTGATTTTGATTTATAGGGAGTAAAAAAACCCTAAAGAAACAAACATAAATTACATTATGCAATTCACAAACTCATTTTATTACTTATTGTAAAGCCTCTGCGTTACAGCAGCCACACAGCTGGGATGCATGCTCTGCCACATGTGCTGCACATGGTGCTAAGTATTGCAAAAAGTGCAGTCAGCAACGCTCTGCTGGACAAGCTAAATAACCACAACCTCGAGCTTTTATTCCCTGCATCATCTTTTCGTACGGTCACATGTAGAGTAACACATCTGTGACAGGCCAAGGCTGTTTTATCACTCAAGCTATGAAATATAACTGCGCTATATTAGTCAATAACCAATACTGTGTTGATAAATGCTTACTGAGGATGTCCATTGCACTGCTGAATTCTCAATGGTTAGAGTTGCTCTCAGCTGTTATCACACATGTGCCTATTGTGTATGTATGTGTACTTACAGAATGTTAGAACTGTTACTCACCACTGTCTCTTCACTAGCTTAACTAAATGTGTGTATTGACCAAAGACAGCCTGTGTATGTGTTAGTGTGAATTGTGTGCTTGGATGTCGTTTCTCTCCTGCATGTGATGGAATTTGGCTGTCTCACTGTTACAGACGTCTGAAAAAGCGAGCAGCTGAGAAGGTCTCCAGGCCAAAGGTTAATGTTTCAGCCGGTGGAAGGTACACTGTCATGGGGAAATCCACTGTCCATGTCTGTCTGCACTCTTGTTTACTGTAGTTTTGGTAGTGGGTTTCCAGTTGGAGTAGAAAATAACCACTCAGTGCCTGCTTTTTAGCTAGTTGTCCCTTCCCCTCTCTAATCTCATATTATTATGTTGTGTGGAGCATATGAAGGGGTTGTGGTACATTGTGCTAAGGTACTTTTCTTCCCATTTCTGTCTTTTAACATGACTGCTGACAGCACAGATTGAGAATGATACCTAAGTCAAAGCATATTACTTAAATTTTATATATTTATATCATCAGCACAAACCCATTCTTACTAAAATTCTTAGCATTCCACAGTATTAATAACAAAACACATAATGAATCTTTTGATGATACAGATGTTGTCAATCTGTGCAGTGTCAGAGGCCTGTTTGTTTTAATGCATTAGTCCTTCTAATCTAATGCAGCAGCTGGAAATCCCATTCTTCATTATGGCATGCTTTTTGGAGGAGGTCAGCAACTTTTCATCCTGGGTTCTTACACTGAAGCAGTCGCAGACATTTGACTGCAGAGTTCATATAACCGAAAGTGACCTGCATCTGGTAGAATCTGCAAATAATTGACAGTGTTTGTTTTATCCAGTTCATCCTGTTTCATCCTGGTATGTGAGTATTAGGAAGTCGCACCACAGATGTTTTTGGATGTGTTACATGATACTTTTTGGTGTCCTGAGGTTAAAATTTTGCTCCTGAGGAAAATGAATTATTACAGTGAATAGCTAAGCTTAACAGATAAATGTGGTGTGAAGGAATATACCTTAAATCAGCGGTCCCCAACCTTTAAGGTGTCGCGGATAAATACAACAAAATAAAACCAGTACCGGTACCAAAAAAAAGAAGATTTACTCATAACACACGGGAAAAGACCCAGGGAAACTGAGTTAATGATAAAAACGCTAAAAAAATAACACTAAAAACTGATTAAAAACCCTCAAAACCATAAATTTTACACCCGAGCCTCAACTCTCGTGGCCCGGAACCAAACGACTCCGTGGCCCGGGCGTTGGGGACCTTAAATGACCATGCTGGTTTTTTTCTTCAAGTCAGCAAAACGATCAGAATAAATAAATTTGTCCTTTTCCAGTTTGTGGTTTTCAATGCCAAAGCTTGAAATAGATTTTTTTTTTCCAGTCATTGTGTTGTAGATTTTTTGGCATTGTTGTCCCAACACATGACCCCGTTTTGGCCAACTTTTAACTGACTTTATAATACGTTGGTATACAGAGGATCTCATGAACCTACTGACTGCTCGGGTCCTGTGGCTGCAAAAAAGTCCAAATCATCACCTTCACCACTGTGCTTGACAGTAGGTATGAGACGCTTGTGCTGATATGCTGTGGTTGGTTTTTGCCAAACATGGCACATCGTGGCCAGACATTTCCACTGTGGTCTGATCTGTCCAAAGGACTAGCAACCTGCCCCAGCTTCTGCTTTTATAGAGACTTTTATACTCGCTGACTATCAGTTAATCGAGTACCTTTGATTAGCACCACCTGGAAGCTGCGTACTCTTATTTCACATTGAAGCAGTGAGGGTGCTCTTATTAGTTTGGCAATCGAGCAACATTGAAATACTCTTTTTTTCTGGTTAAAGCAATACATTTACAATTTGCAGATTCTATTTGATTCAGTTCTTGACATTTGAAGTTTTTGGGATAAGTAAGAAACTCTTTGACATTTAAAAGAAAAATCCATCAACACAAAGCACAGATCACCCTTACCCACAGACCCTGTATGGACTGTCATGTGACCTTTAACCATTAGACCTGCAGGAAACTGACACATCTGCTTTTTGTTTGCAGCCCATCCCCACATAAAGCAATGCCATACCATATAAAAAAAAACCTTAAAGTTCACACTGACATAAAAGTACATCAATCACAGTAGCTTAGTTTGCATTAACCATGTGTCAGTGATCGTGTTAAACATGTGATACACTTCATGGCCCAAAGCATATGGACATACCAACTGTATCACTATTTATTCTGTTCCTGGCCACCATCGTCACACCAACTGTATACAAAGGAAAGGTATGCTTTTGTCCATAAAGTGTATCTACTTATGTCAATGCTAATTAAACCTGTCGGGTCTCTGTCCTAATGGCCAACATTGTATGTTGTTGTGTTTTGTTTTCAGTCTATTTTTGTTGAAATTTTGTTGTAATTCACCTAAGAAGGATGTGCTTGGTTCAACTAGCCTGTGGGCTTTTTGTGCATTTTTACTCTGCATTACATCAGTAAAACTGTTTTATAACTGT